TTTAATAACCATTTTTGTAGTATAAATGGGTCACATGCAGTAGTTTGGACATGTTCATAAGAAGGTATTTGCTACTGTTCTGAAATCAAAGTTAGCAAGGTATCCTGTGTTTTATCTTGCAACCCTGATTGTAAATGTTTTAGGTATATTCATTGAGATGGCCAACAGCTTCCTGAGCAGGGTCTCTTAAACTAGACCACTGATGTTTGAACGTTTCTTCATTTTGAGGGGTCTGCATTAGTTACTTTACTAGTTGCCATTTCTGATATGTGCCTGAAACAAAGAAGGAGAGAAGTACTTATTTTGACTCATGCTATTTCAGTCTGTGGTGATGGAGAAGGGTTGGTGTTGTGTTCAATCCTTTGTGATGAGGGTATGCTGCAGCTCCTTATTTAATGGCACCTGCCAGGATGCAGAGAAGTAGGCTTAGTCTAGAACCTTCCAAAACCTCCCCTCCCCCCCACCTCTGTTCCTAATAGTTTCACAACTCACCAACAAGCAAAAAACAAAAACAAACAACCCCCCCCCCAAACATTTCACTCATTAGTGCAGAGTATTTAAACACCTGAGCCCAGGGGAAACATTCGATAGTGCAGCACAGCAGGGGTCATCATTAGCTCTTCAATAGTGTGCCTGGCTCCTCTCCCTTAGCTACCCAGTCTCAGAACCTTCCTCTCTATTGTTTGACAATAAGTTCTACTTTCAAGCATTACCCCATGGGAAAAGTAGGGCAAATCACTCTTAGTTGTTAACCCTGATTCATGGTAGACCAAAGGTGGAACTTACATCCTGATAACATGGGCTGTACCCTGCTTTGTCCCATTCCTCACTGGCTTTTACCTCCTCTGCTTCTTCTTTATAAGGTAGGGAGCGGTGTGCACTTCTTTCTGAGACAGTGACTAGTACAAATTCAATTTCAATTCCCTTTATCTTTTCTATAGTTCATTTGAAGTTCTAAGTGGCAAATGCCAGACCATTGCTCATGTTTTCTCTTCACAAAGTACCCAACAAACCCTTAAGCCAAGTGTGCACATTTCTTTGGAAGCTATCAGTTTCCACAGTCTGAGGATCCTTAACAGTTGAGTGGTGATTCTAATAATTACCTTAATTAAGTGCTCAAGTCCCTGAGATCCCGAGTGCCTTCCCAGAGGCACGAGTGTGAAACTCTTGGTCCCTATTGTGAGTATGTTTAGGAAGTGGTGTCTGTTGATATACTGGTATTCTGCTGACCTTGCCCCCTGACAACTGGAAGGTATGCACACCGGCATTCAGGCAGATAGACAGCTCAAAGAGCATGTGTGGCTACATCATGCGATACATGGCTGCATAAGGACTCTGTATGCATGTACAAGCTTTCCCTTTTAAGCCAGTACCTCCCACCTGTTCACCCCTTTCTTTTTTTGCCTTCTTTCCCCTTCCTCTTTCCCCTCTTTCATCTCTGTTCCCTACTGGCCAACACCTACCCCTCCCTTTGTTCCCTTCGCCCAATAAACTCCACATGAGTTTTGTGGTTGTGTTTCATGGCCTTAAGCTGCAGAAAACAATAACAGTGCCCAGTGAAATCTGCCCCCCCCCCATCATTGGAATCATGCTCTTGAAAGACACTGTGGGACCCAGTGCTTCTTTGGGCCTATTTCCAGGCCCTGTTCTGTGCTCCTGCAAAAGGCCCTGAACCTCATAGCAACAAAACTGTTGACCAGGACCTGCAAAACTATGAGCCTAACAAACCTTTCTTTTGCTAATGAGTTGATTGCCTTACTTATATATCATAGTGAGAAAAGCTATCACAGGACACATTTTTCTCCCTTCCCCCATCTTTAGAGGGAGAAATTACGACTCTGAGTGATGAAATCTCTTCTTCAAACACCTTCTACTTGTGTGTTTATCCTTGAAATCAATTCTGAATGATCTCCTTGAGCTTCACATTGGTGAAGTTTCCCTGCCTGGATATGTTTTTTTTATCATCTTGGAAAAAAACCTGAAGTGCCTTTTGCTCTATTAACTTTGATTGTCCAGCATTGCAATTAATTTTGTAGTCCTCTCAGCTCATGTAGTGGGATGATTTCATTAGCAAGTAACTTCTTTTCTTCATTGCTTTCCATATTTTGGTGGCTTTTAGCAGAACAATGGTTTTATAAAACTATGTGGAGCAAAATAAAGACAATGTAACTATGTGGTCACATCCCTAGGTGGGGATATCCCTTTTCTCCATTCTCCACAAAGACTGTATATTCATACTCTAATCTCTTTAATTCTAATGTGCTTCCTTACAGTAGAAATGCTCCATTCCCTAAGAAGGCCTATCTAGAAGTATAGCATCATCTCAGCTTGTAATGACAGACCTTCATTATTGGTGGAGGACACCAGTGCCTTAGCCCCTGATATTTGTGTTTAATCAATAACCGTGTTCGGCTTTGAGCTGCCTTATTGCTACAACTGTGTCGTTCCAGCTGCACGTTTTATTGTGTAGGAAATTCAATTGAAATCACCATTCATGTTTGCAGAAAGGATGATCTTTTATTATTGGCTGTAAAGAAAAGAAATTTCACACTTTGTATAACTGACCCTTTCTGGTAGAGCATGGTGAATTTTCAGAGTGAGAAACAAATTAACAAACCGTGGAAAGCAAGGCCATGGGAGGACTTTAGAGGGGTCTGGCAACACTGTCAAATAAAAACTGCTGACTTTTATGTCTCTAAACAACAAGCATTGAATTCATATTTGAAGTGCACAGTCTTTACACAGATTGAGGGCATGTCATTGAGAAAGAACAAGGGACTGATGGAAAAACACTGAACATGAATATGACAGGCTGAGCAACGAGACCAGGTACATAACGTACTGTTGGGGTGGGGTCCAAAGACACCTGTGTGTCCTTCCTTAGTGACTAGGATGTGAGTGGACTGCTGGGTGCTTCAAGAGGAGCCAGAGTGGTGGGTGGTAGAAGCATAAGGGGTTCAAGGTTGTCACTGGTTGTTATCAGGTGATAGTGTTTTAATGTTTGTGATGTTAACAAGTGAGTAACTGTCGAGTAAGGAAGCAGAGTTAGACCCTGAGTTGGGATACTGACACTGTCAGGAACTCACCATGTCATCTTGGACCCACCCATTCTTGGGGCTTGCTTTGTGTTTTTATAATTTTAATGACATTTCTCATGTAACCCAGATTGTTTTCCAACTTGCTATATATCTGATGGACACTGAATTGCTGATACCCTTGTTTTGACTTCCCAGTTGCTAAGATTGAGGTGGGTACCACCATGTCCCTGCACTCTTTTTTTTTTTGATGATCTGTGAATTATATGCAAAGAGACAGAGTTGTGCCTTTGAGCTTTGAAAGGTAGATAAAAAGAAATATTTGGGGCTGGGGGTGGCATACTCTCATGCTCTGTGGTTCATGAATAACATAATATCCACAGAAGAGGAAAAACCAGCATTAAGCATACTTCCAAGAGCACTCGAAGAGGGGTTAAATATAATCTCAAGGCAGCTCAGCAGTAGTTTTTAAAGACTAATTCTGTCCAGTGTTTGAAAATGTTTTACAGATTAGGAAAAATAATGCTAGTTTACTGTACAAACAAACATTGCTTTTGTCGAAAATTGCCCAAAGGAGGAGAGTAAAATAATGTAAAAGCCAAGCAATTATTCTGGGGACTGTTGAAGGACCTGTTCCTTCAGCCCACATAAGCATTTCTCAGCAACTTTCATTTTTCTACTCATTTATTTGCTGCTGTGTTGTGCTTTGTAAGTTCCTATGAAACACAGTGTTCCATCCATGGGAATACATGCATGCATGCCTATGAATAAAGCATTTCCCTCATTCTTCCAGATCTACAGAGAGTCCCAAGTTTCTTCAACCTAGATGTGACTTTCCTGCCAGATGTGTGCTTTGATTTATTCCATTTGAAAGTAACATTGTAGCATGCATCATGCCTTTTGCAACAGTGTAAGGGCTAAAGAAGTTTTCAGTGTAGTCATCAATTACTTTATTAGCATAAAAAATTAAAATCTTGGTTTTAGAATTGTGGTTTCCAGAGCATGCATGCTGCATTGGGAAATGTAGTCTGTGAAAGTCCCTGCAGGTGTATTGATTTTAGGTGCCTGTACATGGGATAGTTTAGTAAAATGAACTGATTCCCTTTTATTATCCTGTTGCTTATTACACCTGACAAGCAGAAGTGAGGAAATTGAAGATGTGATTATCATAGATCACATTCCCAAAACATGCACATGGCTCCCATTTTTGCTTGTAATAGTAAAGAAGCATCTTTATGTAATCATTTAAGATTATACATGATCTCTTGGATGCAGTCACAGACATACAATGATATGCCTAGAATTATTGGGCTCTCCTGAAGTCTACCAGGTTCAAGATTCATTGGAGAGGTTTCAAAGACATCTGCTTTAATTATAGGAACATGGTTTCTGATTCATTTAATTCCCTTTGCTACCTAAACTGTACATATAAGTGAATTTTAAGAGACTGTGTAAATAAATTTTTAATTACAAAATGATGTTACACAATACATTATTAATAATAACCAATAATGCATAATGTTTATGCATGAGTCCATCAGAAAGATAACTAATGTGTGTTGAGCCTACAAGTAAGCATAATTTGCCCTGAATTCATGAATGAAGTTGGAGCCACAATGCAGGCTGCTGAGTCAAGAGCGCAGTGTGGTTTAGCATGCTATTTAACAATCAAGAAACATCTTGTACCTATGGCATTTAAGAGGTATTTACAATTTGTTCATCATGTGTGTGATCAAGAATCATATTTTGCAATGAGCCATGCGGTTGTGAAATTTGGAACAAGACCACAGAGTTGACAGTAGTATCTTTCTCAGACAGGTGCAGCATAAAATGGCCTAGAGCATCCAAGAAACATGTATGGTCCTTGCATTTGGGCACATGGAGCTCTTATCTCAGATTCACTGTAATAGAATTCCCCACTGTGGCCAAAAAGACCTACCACCCACATGCTTTTTTCTCCGTGCACTAGCGGTAACAGATTTCTGATATCTCCATGGCCAGCTCCAGGCACTCACTGGTCTCATGGCAAGATTCAAAGAGGCTGCAGTCCATGTCACAGGTCAAGTTGCAATCATTGCGTGGATGGTTCTCATCTGAGGCAGAGTAGTACCTGTGAGAGGGGCAGCACAGGTTGATGCACACCGTTTCACATGTGTCAGGGAGCTTGAGGAGGCAGTCCCAGAACTGGCAAAAGAGACAGGTGAGGATCAGGGAGGCACACTCCTCTGTTTAAAGAAAGAGAAGGTCAGTACATGTGAATCATTTTTTAAAAATGTAAATAGTGTTCGAGGGGACGGCATTGCTGACTGCCCTCATCTGATTATTCCAAGTTCATGTTACATATACCCATTCGCGATACATGTATGGACAATTAAAACAATAAGATGCATGATGGGAGAGCTGGAGGGGCAGCCCAGTTGGTAAAGTGGCTACTACATAAGCATGAGCATATGAGTTCCATCCCAGAACCTTCATACATGAACGTGTACATGCATACATGCCTGCATGCTTGTGCACACCAAACATTTACTGTGACATGAGACAAAAACATAATAAAGATGGAAAAAGTTAGTGTTAACACATATAGTAGTGTCACTCAAATATAGACAGATATGGAGATGTATGCAATGTACCTCTTGCTGTTTCGTATGTTTGTGTATCTGCTTGCCTGTGAGGCTGTTATGGAAGCCAGAGTTTGACACTGGGATGTTTCCTTCAATTTTTTTCTCCACCTTATTTTCTGAGCTGGCATCTCTCACTGAACTTGGAGATTGCTATGCTGGTGAGCTAGTGAGCCTCTGGGATCTATGTATTCCCGACCTTTGTCAGGTCTCGGGTCACAGGTGTGACAGACGCCCAACTCTTTTGTTCAGTCTTAGGAATCTGAATTAGGTCCTTATGCTTGTCCAGTAAGTTCTTCACCCTAGAAGCTGCCTCCCCATCCATGAGGAGTGGTGTGCATAGCTTGTCTGCCCAACTTCTCCCCCATCTCACTCCTCACTGTTTAACTAATCTTGTTGTTAACTTCATGAGCATTCCCTATTGATTCTGCCTAATCAAGTTACTTGAAGTGTGCTGTCATTTTGTCCTGAACCTCTTGATTTAGTTTGCCTATGAAGTGCTGGGAAGGCACTGGATGAGCTACTTGTCCTTGCAAATCTCTGAATGAATGCATTGGCTCAGAAGCCATTAAAGCCGGGGAAAAGGAGAGATCACAGATGTTCCATTGCTTGTCACCATGCTCCCAGAATAATTTCACATGGTCTCCCATAAATCCACCACACCCATATCCAAATATGAGGGAAAATCATGGTTCCAAATTTTATTGAAATGCTGTTTAAAATAGTCACAGCTTTTTGGGCTGTGCTTTATTTTAGTTCCTGTCTCCATCTTCCTGTGATCATAGAAGGCCTTGATTTCATATTTGAATTGTTTAAGTAGAGAGCCTCGTCATCTCTTGCCTAAGAGGTTTTAAATCTTATCAGTTGCCTTTAAGAAAATTGGTTTAAAAATTTACTATGAGGACTTGTTAAAGAATCTGGAAAGCATCTCTGAGGTACTGAAGGTAATTGGTAATTCTAGCCAAACAGCTGTGATGGGTTATAGATTATTATATATTTTTGCTCCATAAAGGGAGTTAGCTAGAATGATGTTGCAGTTCTCTTGTTAAAGTTATATTTTGTATATGTGTTTTAGATGTCTCAAAAATGTGGATTTTGGGGGTGAAAGATGAGGTAAAAATTCATATAATGCAATTAATAAGTAATCTGAAGGTTGTTGATGGTTGAATGCCATAATTCAGATGGATTTACCAGTCCCTAAAATTTGGGTTTCATAAGAATCCATTGTTTAAGCATGTTAGTAATTTTGTGGTTTTTCTGACTATAGCCTATGACATATAGGTATACAGAATAGACTTCTCTTAGCACCAGACAAGCTGAATACAGTCTCATGCTCCCCAGCTGGGTTTTTTCCTTTTGGTGTGGGTGCTGGGAATCCAAACTCAGGTCCTCATGTTCACTTGGAGAGACCCCTACAAATTGATTCACCTCCCAAGCATGGTCTTGTTCTTTAATTGTTCATACACTGGGTACTCTCTAAAGGAAGGGAAAACTTAGAAACAGTCTTTTAAGAAAGGAGCAATTATTTGAAAGAAAGCAGGTTTGATCTGTTCCAAAGTGAAATCTGAGTGTAGGTGCACATCGTTCTTTAACCCTCCTGCTCTTCCCACATCTCTTTTTCCCTCTTCTCAGAAAGGTGGTGTTTAACACACACACACGCACACACACGCACACACACGCACGCACACACCTTTTACAAAGACTTTAGCTGCCATGCTTCAGCATTCAGGGTGCAATACAGGTAGTCTGCTCCCTGATACTTCTGTAGCAGGTATACTCTGTACTCACTCATCTCTCTGCCAGGCTGGCTGTCTTTTTATTCACTTAACGCCATCTTCTAGCATATAGCCAACTAATTCACCTTTCATAAGTCACCACAAACCACCCACAAAAATTCAGGAGTAAGTTTGTAAGAGTTCCTGGACTCCATTCTGTCCCGGCCTTTCTGGAGAGAGTGTGCTGGTGGTCAAGGATGTGCAGTACACAACCTCATTTGATTTCACCCATGCTCCTGGCAGAGAAGCTATTCTCAATAGAAAATATTCACAGTAAATTCTGGACACAATTCTTCAGACTAGGGCCTCAAAACTCTTAGGGTTGTGACCCTACAAAAATGAAGCTTGGTTTGTATTGAGTAGAGAGTAGAGCACAAGGTGACTGTAGTGTTTAAAGTTGGAGGTTCTTACTAGAATGTGAAAACCCTGCTTGTAGAAGAGCTTTGTAATTTCAGGAGGTCACATGACCTTTTGATTTCAGTTGCATTGGCTAGTGTCACCTTCAGCTGGCAAACTCTGGAGGCCTCTGTTTCTGGTGTACCATCATTTTATTTACCCAACGAGTTTAGGCTTAATCCTTTGGCTGAACTGACATTTGTTTCCTTCCATCTTCTATTTTACACTTGAGAATAGAACAGTTCTCCCATTGCACCCCTGTTTTTAAGTCTGTCCCATTTATTTGGTTATAAAAGGCAGAACCCCTTGCTGAAGAAAAGCATGGTAACATTAATGAATTGCAAACAGATTTTTCTTAACTTTCAAGTGTGCACTGTGCTTTCCTAAAAGGCATATTAAAGAACACTATACCAGCAGGCTGAACTCTTCTGTATATGGCAATTTTGTTTGCACAAAAGTAATGTAAGCAGTACAGAAGAAATTTTACAACTGTTTGAAGAGTCCAGGACTTCCCCTTCTCCAGACTGAGTATATTTTTCTTTCCTTGCTGCTTCCTAGACTGTAGTATTTAATAAACATGATATCCAGAGGCATAGCTCATGATTAATGCCTTTCTTTTGCCCAGTCTGTAAGAGCACACCATGTGTCCAGCTACCAATGGTCTTCTGCAGGGTCTTCCAAATACACTGCTTCCTAAGGCCAGGTCTTATTTTGTTCCTTCCTCTTCTCCATGCTGCACACCTGTCCCTTCCAAGTTTGCACTTGTGGATGGCAGTACCCTGTGAAGTCACTAGAAACCTGGCATCATCGTCGGTCATTGTGCTTCTCCTACTATCTTAGTGTAGTTACTAGGCTGCCTGAAAGCTCCCTCATCCTCATCCACCTGCACCCCCCCTGCCTGGTTGTACCCTCTTTAGCTGTCTTCAGGTACACAGCCATAAACTCCCTCTGATGATGGCTTGCTGCCACATGTGATGATTTGAAATCTGTTAGCCCCTGTGACACTTGAATTCCTGAATGAAAAGATCTTATTCTCCCTTCAAGCCCTAACCCTTACCTTAGCAAGAAGCTCCTGCAAGCTCCTCCTGCCACCCTCTCTCACTCCTGGCCTTGTCTCACTCCTTACTCACTGTGCTGTCACAACACTGGTTGAATCCCAGTTTTCAAAATGGACTGACCTCACAAGCTTTGCATGTGCTGTGCTCTCTTCTTAGTCATCCTCCTGGTGGAAGCTTCACCCAACTAGTGTTCAAACCCTTAGATTCTTTGCTTGAAACATCTTCCCTTCAAATGATGCTCTTTCTCAAACATGCACAACACCACACTCACTGTCTCCTTCACAGTGCTGCCCATAGGGTGAATTTAGCTTGTTACCTCTCACTGGGTCAATCCATGAATGAGTTCAAGTAAGACCAACAATGAGAAAGGAAAGTATCACTGAAGGGCCCATGGCCTGATGAATGATGATGGAAGTCTGTTTGTTTCTAGACCAGAAGTCTGTACTTTGAATCCCCATGTTCCACGTGTCCACATTTCCCCTCAAGCCAATTCACAGCTGTCTGTGCTTAATATGAATCTCAGACAGCCCTCAAGAAGACCCTGGATTGAATACTCCAATCACCCCTATTTATAGATGTGGCCCCAGAGCTCAGAGAATTCAAAGAGTCATGATCCAGGACCCCCAGCAAGTGAGTTGGTTGTTATGTAAACCTAGGACTGCCGAAAGCTTGAACTTCCCAAAGCTAACCATGATCTTCCAGGCTTTTGCTTGCTTTTTACCAGGTGTGAACATTTAGAAGAAGCCATCCATTTCTGAGTCACAAGGCTGGCAATGTAGGTAGCCAAGTTATTTCCATGACTACTGGCTAGCTTCAGTCAATGGGAAGCATTCAAAAAAGCCCAGGAGCTGGGAGAGAAGGAAAGAAAGCCAGGAGTCTTTCTTCTGCCCCAGTTCTGCATGTTGCTCGTTGTCTTGGATATTAGCTATTCTTTCCCCGCCCTCTCTCCCACTTCTGCCCTCCTCCACATGGCTCTGACTAAAAGCAGCCACTGCCTAGTACTGGTTCATTGCTAGGGGTCTATGAGTTATGAGTTCAGTGCAGTAGTGCACTGGTCTGGAGGACCTGGGATAGATAGAGCATTCTTATGGTGTGAGTTTCTGGGTTACACCACTATTTGCTGCACTGGCCTTTTCAACCCCCTTAACACCTTTGCAACAAGTTCCTTGCACAGGAAACCCTCTCTATTGAACCACCTAGTACCCTGGCATTGCCTCTAATCACTGCTGTCTCCTAAACCTAGAATAAAGGCAGTAGGAAATGATCCAAGACCTGCAGGCCAAGCAGCCACAGCTGTATTTAGCTGTGAGCAAGAAGCCTTGGCAAATCCCTCTGAGGGTTGTCTCAAATCTTTTCTATACCCCTAAGGTACTTTCAAGCTGGAATGTGCTAAGTGATGATACTCTAATAACACAGAAGAATTAAGGCAGCTTCAAGGTGCTAAATATTCTGCTGGGGATTGGCTAATTAAGAGGGAGAATGTGTCTCATTAGAAAGGCTCATGTTTAATTATACTGGAAATGATAACAAAGCCAAGATGCTCCATTTGTGTACCTGGGGTCAGCCTCATCACCATTCCTTGACGTTGCCTTCCCAGCTTTCTGTCTCATGATTTCCCCATATGGAAAGACATCTCTGGTTGCCAGTTGTGGCTCCTAGGACATTTTTTAACTTCAGAAACAACCTCTTGCTTCCTTGCAGTCATCAAGCAAAGTGTCACAAGTGTAGGTTTTATAGAAGTGAGCCAGAGAAACAACAACCTCACCCATTACTCTTCTAGAACACAGTAGGATGAGGAATAGACGAGATGGTCCTGGCCCCAGCCCAGTGCCTCAGTGTAGCTGGGTACTGCCACTGACCGACATACAACACAACGGCATCAACTGGATACTGAAGGTTCTGGGTCCAACAGCATAAAAATCGAAATTCCTCCCCCCCCCAGCATTAAGCTCTTTATAAATACATGTCTGTAACATAGAATTCGAATAAATAAAGTGTGACTGAATGTCTTTCTCTAGCAGGGCTATCATCCCTGATGTTATCAATTTTAACAGCTCCTTAAATATGTCAAGATCTATTTAAGCTCAGGCAAGCACAGCTAACATCCAAGTCACTCCTTTAGAAGCAGAATGACTAGATTTGGGTGATACTTGGTAAATTTGTGCTTATGTTTTTTTCTGAGCAAATGAACTGAAATAATTACAAAATTGAAACACTTTATAAGGTGACACCACTACATTTAATTGTACAAAATTTACAGTGTAGAAAATGTAATCATTTTATTCAGTAGCCCATGGTGTAATTAAGACTATTCTTTGCAGGTATCTTGTATTTATGATTTTCTCCTTCCCCCTGGATGAGATGTCTGAAATTCAAAATTATACATCAATTAGGCATATTTCCAGGATTACTTTCCAATGAGCCTGTACCTAAGGGGATGTGTGCCCCTGGCCTCCTTTTCCATGTGATGCTTTTGCGAGTAGAAATTTATGGACCGGGGAGCAGGTATATGCAGGGAACCCTGGGTGTGTTTTCCAATTCCTTCTGGAAAGAGACCACACATGATGAGTCATAGCAACTGACAAACTGCTGGAGTAGAGACTGCGAGGTTCAGTAAAGATCCTTTTAAATTCCCATCAGAGCACACCCTGTGAACTCTGCTAATGGACACAACACATTTTACAAAATCTGTCTATATGAGCCTTTTCCACTCTGTTTAAAGTGGAGGTGATGTATGTAGATATTAGTAATTAGGCATCCACTCCCCAAAACTCATTTATACTTTTCAAAATAAATTAACCACAAACTGCATGAAAGTGAACACACCTTCTCTTTCCTCTTTCCCTGTGTTCCTAGTAGACATTTCTATTTAAAGTGACCCCACTTCTCAATTTCGGCACCCTTAAATTATAAAAAATCTCTGAGGTGAGGAGTGGGACTGGCTTAATGATTGATTTCATTGCTGTTTAGGATAATGATTATTTTTATTTTTTAAATTATGATTTGTGATTCTTAGTATGAGTCTTTTATTTTTATCCAGCTACCAAAAACTCTAACCTCACCAGGGAGATTTATTTTTCCACAAAGGAAGCAAGGAAGGGTGGCTTACAATATACATCCTCTGCTGAAAACCTGAGTTTTCTAGGTCCTACTGGTCTCTGTCACCTCTTACAATGAACAGCTTTACCCACACACCCTTCTTATCCCCCCTTGCACATTTGAATGGGAGAAATCTTTTTCTTGCACCAGGAGGCTCTGAACTATCAGTCATCATTTAAACAGTGTGATTATTTTCCACTTTCCCTGAGAACATGAGACAGCTAATCTCATGCTTCTCTTGGGGTTCCCAACTGAACAGAGGGACATGCTCTTTGAGGGACATTATGTCTGGAGCTGTGTATAGAGATGGTCCCTAATTCTGGGATCATTTCCCTGATGCATACAATGAACAACATCTGTCCCTCCCCATAAAACCCACAGAAACACTCTGCCATTGGATGCTTTTCGAGAATCCAACCGCTTGCTTGTTTTCATGCCTTCCCTTTGTCTCAACCAAAGTTAAACTCTAGTGGAAGCCTGAGTTGACAGATCAAAGTTGACCCAAAAATACATAGAGATGCTGTGAGTGCCAGAGAGTAAACAGAAGTCATTATCAATATTAAAATACTTAGAAGTTTCATGTGCAAACTTATTCTCGACATGTTTTAGATCCCTTCAAGATCTGTCAACTCAGATGGGTAGAGTGGCACATGCCTTTAATCCCAGCACTTGGGAGGAAAGGCAGGTGGATTTCTATGAGTTCAAAGCCAGCCTGCTGTACAATGTGAGTTCTAGGGCAGCCAGGGCTCCATAGAGAGACCCTGTTTCAAATTAAAACACAAAACAAAACATCAAGCAACTTTAAACCTATTGTTTTCTCTGGTTTGTGTTGGTTAAAATAAGTGACTGTCTCTCTCCTCCTCTTTCCTTCTCTCTAGGCTCCAGGAGTACCTTAGTTGTCATCCTTAGGAACATTGTCCACCTCCCTTGAGACAAGGTTTCAAACTGACTTGGAGCTTATCAAGTGGCCTTGGGCTGAAGGTGAGACCAGAGGTACCCCTACCTTTGCCTCCTCAGTGCTGGGCTTAGAAACCCACCACTATGTTGCCTTCTTCATGTGGGTTCTGGAGATTTAGCCTTCCAACCTTGTGACTGAGAGAAAAATACTTAAGCTACACAGTCATGCTCTCAGAAGTGATGCTTGAATGACCTCTAGCTGAGGTAATCTTCGGGTTCCCACAGTCCTCACTGTTCTCTCCCATTTACTTCCAGCTTCATCATTCACATTCTTTTTTTGGCACTCTTAACCAATCAGTTCTCTAGTCTCTGCTTTTGGGTATCCATATCAACATTTGCATAAGACCACACATTTACAACACATGGTAGAAGTCTCTCTCATTCCTCTCAAAAAAAACTGCAATCATATGAAAAGCTAAAGTTGAAATTCTGTGTGCTTTGTACACATATTTCATTCAAACCCCACATTGGCCCTTGGGTTGTTGCTAACCCTGGTATAGAACTAAGATCCTAAGGTTGGGATGTTAGAACAAAAAAGGCAAACCCCAAACCTGTCTTGTTTTATCCAACTAATAAACTTCTGAAGCAATAGTTAAATTGATGCGATGATGAAGGGGTTTTAATGAAAGCTTTAACCATTTTTCTTATTTCCCATAATGAAATATGAGGTGCAGATGAGAAACCACACTTCTGAAAAGCCAAGGGATTATTTCAATGGAACCATAGGTACAGACTTGGAATACTACAGAACTATTGAGCAGTTCACGTTCCCTGGAGAAGCAATTGCAAAGTTATTCAGACCTAAACTTTATTATCATGGTGGAAGATCCATGAGCTTGAACTTGACTGAGCTGATGGTTTAGCACCAAATAAATCTAAAATGGCTGTTGTTGTACATAGTATATGGGGTGTGCTGGTCTATGGCTGCACTTGATCAGAATACCTAGTGAGGTAGCCAGGAGAGTCAACCCTTGCCCAGAGATGATTGATGTAAATGCCTTGATATTTTATATCATCTTTTTTTTTATTTGTGTTTGGGCTGGGGGGTTGTATTGTGTGGAGGCCAGAGATCAATTTTAAGAGTCATTTCTCCAGTGTTGTCTACCTTGACTTTTAAGACAATGTGTCTCACGGTCTAGAGCTCACCAAGTAGGTTAAGCTGGCTGCCAAAAGAGGCCCAAAGATCTGGCTGCCTCCACCTCCCCAGTGGAAGACCGTACCACCCCTGCAAGCTTCTTTATGGGGGTTCTGGGAACTTGGTTCTCCATTCTTACACAGCAAGCACATTACTAAGAGAACCATCTCTCCATTCCTGCGTGTCTGTTGTTTCTAGCATTTTATTTCTTTTCCACTCTGTGCTCCTCTGCCCCATATGCTTAGAGACATGGGTAGAGTGGTCTCATTTCTGAGAAAAGATTTTTTTATTTGATTTTACTGGTTTTCCAGCCCCATCCGAGCATGCTGCTCTGGTCCGAGCTATTTAAAACATAGCCTCAGATTCCCAGTTCTGGGAGCAAATACTCTGCCAAGTACCTCCTCCCTGCAAAGTGACCTTGACACATGTCATTCAGTAGGGTTTTCAAATCAAAGTCATCCTGTTTAATATTCATAAAGACTTTTTTCTCTTTCTAACAGCATATGTAGTGATTTTTACAAGGATTGGGTTTGGGAGCTTTATTTAGAGATGGGTTGTATTCTGAGAAACGTACCATCAGCATCTCTCCGATGAACTGAAGTATTAGTTTGGAGGTAGGGAAATTTCGTTTGGCATTCTTCAAGGGAGGAGAGTGAAGTGCTCGATCCTGACAGGTTTTTCTCATTGGGGCTTTCCTGGGCTGGTCCATCTGTGATACTGAATTCGGATACTGAATTTATAATGATAGCATTAATAGGTTTCTCTTCTGCATGCTTTTCATTTGTGAGCTGTGTATCTAGATGGAAAAAAGAAAACACACATATACAAACACATTGTGATCTAAGAAAGGACATTTTCAGGAAAATTCACATTTTACACTTTGAAAGATAAAGTTCTGTGAAATGGAATAAAACATTATTGAGCAAGATTATCTTCAGATAGAATTGAAAAGTGAAACCACAAACTTTTATATGCAGTGTAAATTTCACATTAATTTCTAACACGTTTTACTCTACTATCAGTTTTTAGCATTGTGAGTAGGAAAAAAACAAAGGATTCATTTATATGGATCAACAAGATGTCTCTGTGTTGTATCAACATCACCATGTATCATGGGTATGAGAAGCCAGGTAATTCTGACACTTTCCGATGGTCTCAATAAGATCACTATTCATTTTTCTCTTGCTTTTGTTTCTACAAACCTCACTTTCCTTCTATTTAGGAGAAAAACAAGCCATGTGTAGATGAACAGTCTACAAGCGGGATCTTCCTCTGCTGTCAGAAAAATCTCTGATACACACACACACACACACCCTTTCATATATTGGATGTTTGCATCTAAACATTGGCATTTAATAGGTACCTATTCAGGTGATGGTCTCTCTGGCTTTGGGGATTTCTTCTGGGGAACATACCTTATAGTGTGAAAATAATTGAGATGAGCAGGAGATGTTCAGGGAGCTCCTGGCAATGTACTGGCCAAGACTTCAGTTTGAAGAGGCAAAGGGAAAGCCGAGACGGCTTGTGACCTCATTCTGTGTAATAAAAGAGTTTGCTATGGAGCCAACACTGAACTGAACATTAGGATTCAGTGTGCCTATCACAAGCTTTCCGCACTTTAGCAAACAGGAGTGTGTAGAGAAGTAAAATCTACCATGCTGTGTCAGAGAGAGGATGAAGCTGGTAGTCCGCTTAATGTATAACATATCTAACCTGTAAGCAAAGTCCTGAGATGGAAAAAGAAGAAACACAGGAATACATTTGTAAACACACCACCAGATTGGTCACAGGGATGTCTTCCAGTGGCACTGTTGAGAAATGGAAAATGTGTTCTAGACTCACTCCACACTGAGTCTAGGGTTGGGCTGACTCAGCAGTGCTTGATGAGAGGCTGACATGATTTAATGAGCACATCCAGTTCTGTGAAGAAAATCAACTCTTCCTAAGTTCATAGTTATGGACTGTTTCAAAATTGCCTTTTCTTCTCTAGGAAAGCAATGTCTGCTTGGTCCTACCTTTGAGGAGTATGATTCCCTAAAGCTCCTACAGAGTCCACTCCACTGGGAACTCTAAAGTTTTTGAACTTTTCGAAGGCTCAGGTACCACTGCCCCCAGCAGACCAATTGAATCACAGTCCTTTGGGGACTTTGCTGAAATGTCTCAGGTGATCCTAACATGCAGAGAAGCCTGTGAATTCTAAGGAGTTCTGCTTTGCAGGGAGGAGAAAAGAAGATAAAGAAAAACCCACAGATTTGTCACTCAGGGTCTCTCAAAACCCATCATGAAATGGTCTCTCTCTGAAGGCTTGAACTGGAAGCCAACCAAACAGTCTGCCACACGCAGTCATCTTGGGCCATTTTTGTTTCCTTCCGATTTTCCAAACAGCCTTGGTTTTTGACAATGTTTAATTTTTATTCCCTTTCCCATATGCTGCTGGCTTTAAATCTCTTGGTGGTGGTTTAATCCACCCTAAAAAAGATTGGCAGAAGTAGGGTTCGGGAAAAACATCTATTGTTGACAGCAATTAATGTAGTATTGAATACTGAATGTGGAAATAGATTTGGCACCATACATTGGCAAACTGTAGGCTTCCTCTAACTTATGAAGTACTTGCCATGTTAATAACACAATGATGATGGTGGTAGTGATGATGAAAATGAGAGTTTATTTTTCTTACTGGGAATGAGGGCATCCAGTAATCAGCCAGTTTCCCACTGAGATAGATATTCAAATACTGCCTTTGATTGTGTAGTAGTGTCTAGATTTTGAGCCAGACAATGGATGTACAAGGGAGTGTTCTCCTCATCTTCTATTTAGGAGATACTAGTTGCACTTTGTTTCCCAAAACTATGATAAATAAAAACTTACTGTTCACCTTGACAAATTTCTCTCCTGGGACAATATTGCCCAGGTTGAAAACCACTGCTTTGTGCACAAACATTGTTGTTTATATGCCTTATCTTGCTAAAACGCCAGCTAGATGAGTATAGAAGATCGACACCACTGTTGGCTTCTTTTTTGGCATGGGAAAAGTAGAAGTTAGTATTGCTAGGTGAATTATTATAGTTAGAGTTGAAATTGGTAGATGAATTAGAGCAACAGTAGCAACATTATACTTCTGAAGTGGCAATGAAATAATTTTATGGTTGGGGGTCATCACAACATGAGGAACTATATTAAAAATTTGCAGCATTAAGGAGGTTGAGAACCATTGCTCTAGGGACTCCAAAATCTTTGTTCATATCTTTGTTTTTCATAAATATTATATATGTCCCTAATGGATCCTTTGCCTTTATCTCAGGTAGCTGTCTTTTAGTAGCTGAGACTATACTACATATCAGCAATACACTATGTACCCTAAGACTTGAGATGCATTAATACCCTAAAGGCAGTCTTACACATCACTCCATTTGACAGACCTCCTTTCACTGCATGGTGAAGTACGACCAATTTTACACTTGAAGAACTGTCTGTTCAGCTACAGCTCCTTTGTGCTGTCCATTCAAAGGTAGCTCAGGAAGAAGCTGGTAGCAAACCATGATGACTATAGAGATTACAGCAGCTCTTTCCTTAACAAAATTCATTAACAATTGGTTCAAATTATCACGCACAGTCAGACTGCATGTAATTTGAATCACTTTTGCACAAAGTAATTTGGTAACAACAACAACAACATCAGAAAAAGAGTTGGATAGAGGTTACTGGGATGTAAAAACATGCAGAGAGTACAGTTTACAGCCAAGTGGTATATGATTCTCTTTTTAATTTTGTGACAACTTTTTTAAGTACAGCATTTTTTAAGTATAGCATTTTGAATGTAAGTGGTTTGCTACATTAAGCAACCATTTGGAACACACCAGGTTTGCCCAGGGAGGATTTTATGGAGAATTTAAACTGCCATTCATAAAGTTATTTTAACTCTATATCTCTGTTTATATTTTTATTTTTTAATCCCCCAGTGGGAACTATCTGATGCTCATTAAAAAATCATCTGACATGCACATGATTCAGAGCCCAGTCTGTTCAACCCAGAATTCTGACATCTGAAGTGAGTCACTTTTTTTTTTTTTTTTTTTTTTGGGTAAATGTTACTGACAGATTTTTTTTTTTTTTATATCTGGAATGCTAACAATAATTCCCCCAGATTCCTTCCTTTACAGTGTTATTTGACATTGTCTCCAAAGTATTAAAAAGCAGCATGGGCTAAAAGGAGGAACACGGAAAAGTGGCATCATATCCTCTCACGAGATGGCATTTTAGAATTAAATAAGGAACCCATGCAACTATATTTGGGATGTTATACATAGTTCTTGACATTAACTCAGGGAAAATAAATTTTTTTCACTTCAAAAATATGAACCAAAAATTGGGACAAAAATTAGGAGCTTCTCTATAGTTCTTAGAAAAAAATTAAAGTGTGTCTTGAAAGTCACGGTAATACAAAAAATCCCTGTTTGGGTTAGAAGTAATTGCAAGAACCAGTGGGCATAAACTAGCAATAGTAAGACAGACAGTTAATTAATTTTTTATTACCACTGAGCAAATGTTATTAATTTAATTCAATTAACATTTATTGAGCACCCACATGCAATAGATGAATCAACGTGACAGCAGCTATTCATTTATTTACTTTAAGTTATTAAGGAAACATTTTAATGGTTTCCATTTTTGCTCACTAAATATCACTTGATAATTTTTGTGTTCATATATTCTTTAAGTCTATAATACAATTGTTAGAAACATGAGTAACATCTCTTCCTGCCCAGAGCATCACTCTATTCTTATTCACTGTTTTTTTTTTTTTTTTTCTTTTCTCTTTCCTGTTTCCTTCTCATCTCTCCCCATCTTTTCTTTTGGTCTCTTCTTTTTTATTTTTTTCTATTTATTTCTCTGACTTGCCATCCTTGTCTCATTTATGCACTTCTTTTTACTTCCAGATCAGCTAATATCTTTATTCCTTAAGACTTGATCCCCTCTTTCCCTTGATCCCTCTCTTCCTCCCTTGCTCTCCACCTTCTCCCTTTCCCCCCACTCTCCTTCTCTCTCTCTCTCTCCCTCTCTCCCTCCCTCCCTCCTCTTCTCCCCCACACCCATCATCCCCTCTTCACTTATTTTTCCCTCTTTCTAAGGTAGTACTAGTCCATTCTCATAACTGAGGTGTTGGTTTTGTGGAGCCTGCTCTAAATCTTGTAGAGCCAGCCAGTTTCCAGCCAGGCTGCATTTGCTGAGTATAAATTCTATTCCAGTAGTGTACTCATAGCTGGAGAATTCAGAGAAAAACAACAGTGTATCAGTTCTTTAAAGGCCTGTGGTCACCACAAATCACTCTCATGATTGCAATGGACTTTCAGGTATTTTATTTAGGTTACCAGCCACATCTTTTCAATTTGATGCCCCGTTTGACTAAGCCCTTCATTTCACTGAAGTGGGTAGCTCAACCTATCCCCAGAGAATCCATGGCTGGACTTCTTCCCTTGTATGGCCATTGTTAGTTAGTTAGACTTGAAACTATTCTTTGCCTGGTCCCATCCTTCAGTTGGTGATTTAGACGTTCTCATTCCTTTTTCAAAATAAACCTCAAGTCCATGCCAACCATTTCATTCCCATCATTACTTGAACCTTCAATCTGAATGATTGTCTTCACATTGTTATGTTTGTGGGGGTCTAATCAGGGCCTTCCAAACACTATGCAAATGTTCTACCACTTAGCTGCAGTTATAGTCTGATTTTCTTCGCACAGGCTCACTATGAGTTCAGAGTGGAATTGAACCAACAACCCTTCTGCCTCTGCTTGCATGAGATTTCATGTTTGAATCACCATGCCTGGCTTAAGGACATTTACATGCTATTATCAAAATAATGTTTTAAAATTTGCCTTCCGATCACAATATTGATTAAATCAACAATAGCACAAAAGCAAGGCACACGGAAGAGCTGATGGCTCATTGTTACCGGAATAATTTTTCAGTTCTCTTAGTTTAGATTGACTCCCCATTCTGTTGCCAAGTTGCCTTTTGAAGCAGGCAGCACCTTACAAACATTTTCACCTGAGTGGCCAACTCCTGAAGCCTGTCTGAGAATTTTAAGATGAGCCTTTAAGCTAGACTGATTTTAATTTTATTTCTAGATCAAAACACTTAGGCTGTGCATATCAAATGCAAGAACCATTTTTTAAGCTGTACCTGAATTATATTTTCCCTTGGACTTGAACTACCACTTAGAATTTAGTAGTGTAATTATCTGTGGGTGAAATCAGATCAAGGTAGACAAGTGACATTTCAAGGTACAAGCCACCAAACCATTCACAAATTATTGTGGTTAGGGAAAGTAGTTCATCCAAGTGACCCTGTAGAGGAAAAGTTAATTTATCTGGGCACTGTGGTGCATGCCTTATAACCTCAGCACTTAGGACACAATGCAAGAAGAGCACATGTTAAAAAACACACACACAACCCTATTTCCAACCCACCCACCAACCAACCAATATAGAGTTATATAACATATATATTATATCATTATGTATTTTTATATATTTATATTCTCAAGCATATGAGGAATTTCATAATGTCTACACTGATGTTGGAATTGCAACCACTGGTAGGCTATATGACTATATTTTCCACAGTTTAGTCAGTAAAATAAAAGAAGTAACAGAACAAGATCAAACCCTGTAAAAAAAATTAAACTTATTAGATTCTGAATGTATATTTTTTTACATTTACATTTTCTCTGGGTACCCAAAAACTTGAGGTAGGGTCTCTCTTGTAGCTTATCCTGACCTCAAATTTGGAATCCATTAGCCTCAGCCTTCCTAGCAGCTTGGATTACAGGTGTGTGCCAACACACATGACATTCTCATTTTCATTTTAGCCACGCCGGGACACTGAATAATTTTAGAGAGAACAGAGCAAAACGAAGACGCCCTATTTCATTCCCCTACATTAAAAAATGCTGATGGACATTCAGAGAAATCACATTTCCCCGAAAACCTCCTTTTTGTTTTTGATTGTGAAACTGAGGGACAGGAAACTTCACCTGTTTGAAATGAATGAGAATAAGCAATTATTTGATGGCTTGTTGGCTGCCAGATTGAATAAGGCAAAGCCTTAGATCCAATCAGTCTAACTTTGGGGCAGAATAAGTGAGACATGATTTTTTACTCTCCATAATTTTCTCACAGCCTTTAAAGACCTTTCAGTAAAAGCAGTGCTTTTATACATTGTATCTTTGGTTTGTCTTCCTCAGTCCCTTAGCCCCAGAGACATAGGATGAAATGTTTGTCAAGGGCCCTGACGAGATGACATTTTAAGTCCTTTCAATCAGCCTTAGTGAATCTTGTTGAAAATGTTAAAGGGGGGGGGACCATAATTGTATTATTTCCCCAGAAGAATAGCAGTGACTGCTCAAGGTGAAAAGGATTAAGAGTTGAGAGAGATGAGTGGAGAAGGTTGCAATGGCCCTTTCCTAAGCTCTCCCAACAATTGTTAGCTTCCAGGTTGGGGACTCTGTCCTTTTGGTTTTGCTGTTGCTGGTGGCTCTCGCCCCCCCCCCCCCAACTGCCATAGGTAGTTCACTCAGTCTTCTGCTGGCTGCCATATGTCACCCTGCAGGCAGGCAGACCTTGCTCTATGATGTACTTTTATAGCCAGGTTCTAGGCCGGTAACAAGGAGCAATGCAGACCTAAGAGGTGTTTGAATCTTCTTCCAACATGAAAACAGTTTGCAATTATGAGTCCCCATTTCATTTTTATGCACTTACCTTCAGTTTAATGTTTTAAAGAAGTGTCTCAGGAAATAAAGATGATGTTACCCAAGGGGAAAAAATAGTGAGTAGCTTTTATAGTTCCGTGTACTGGGTAGCTAATGAGTTTAGGGCTCTGAGGGGGAAAAAAATGAATCAAGCCAATCAGGCTATAAACTCAAGCATGGGCAGTGTATCTA